AAAAAAAAAAAAGAGGAGGGCATTTGGGAATCTCTTCATTTAAAATTTGAAACAAAACTAAAATGTTTGCTAAGGGCATGATCCCATTATTAATCCACAAATAAGAATTCCAGCAAAAACTCAAGTGAGTGGGAAGGTTTTATGAATCTCCAATGTGATATCAAAATACGACCATATATTTGCTACCTATTACACACCTTACTTCCTTGATAAGAGTCTCTTAAAGTAGATGATAACCTTAATTTTTTACTGTATTTTACATTCACTCAGCTAAGCAAAAGCCTTTCAACAGGCTGCAAAACACTGAAACATTTACTTCCTAATAAAACAAAAACTTTTTTAATGACATTGGAATACAATGGTTTTTACTCTTGCATTGAGCTACATACATTGAACTTCGGCAACATAAAATGACTTTAAAATTGAGTATCAGAAGATATTTACAAACTAACTCCCGCAGGTCTCTCCTCCTCATGGGTTTGCACATCTGACTCAGGTAACCTGTCAGGTGCACAGCTTGGAGGAAAACCCTGCTCAATACACAGTTTCCAACATTCCTAACAAACACAGATATTTTGCATGAAACATGGTAAGGCAATTACAAGCATAACTTTCTGCTGACAAGAGTCACTGGAGGTTGGTGGGGGGGCAGGGAGGTGTCTTGTCTACAACATACATTCTCTGTCCCTACAACTCATACTTCAAAAACAAATAAAAGCATCAGAAAGGCAATAAAAGTTTTCTATCAGACGATTAAGTAGCTATGCAAAAATATCTTACGCAAACTATTCAAACTTTGTGCATACTACTATTGACAATAGCATGCATAGAAGATAATACCTTCCCAACCAAAACAAAACAAAACAAAAAACAATAAAACAAACCCCATAAAACCCCAACAAAAACCCAGGAAGAAGTATAAAAGCCATTCTTTTTTCCCACCTCTCTATCAGGGTAATTCATTTGTCCTAGACTTGCCAAACATCAGAGTTGGAATCAAGGTTGAGGGGAATGGATAACAAAGCCACACGAAGAACGAGTGTTAGAGGGCTTCATGGTAACAGTGGCAGATTTCCAGTGTTTGAACTCAGAAGTTTGACAAGTCCTTCTAATCATGGCTTAAGGAGAAATTGAGTGTTTCATTTCTTTTAAAAAATAGAACCATCATGAATAAACGCATGGTGGTAACACCATCAACCCTTAATGCCAGCAGAAATGGAGAGGTTTGACTCATTTTAAAATTGCACTTTCTAGAAAGTATAACTTTTAAAATAACTTTTCATGTAATAATTAAAGCACTTATGGTTTATATCTTTAAATATTGAATATATTTCTCAAAATAGTGCCCTAGCTGTTCAAGTGTGCTTTTTAATATAAAGTTGATATATTATTGAAGGTACTACAAAATAGAACTTTCTGGAGTGCAGAAGTTAAGAAAATAACCTTCATACTGAAAATATATCCTTAAAACAAAAAAACCTCTACACAAATGTACTACAGTATACAAATTTTAAGAGATGGTATAATAAGGCACGAACCATGCAAGTCTCTTAGAAATGTATGAACACAGCCCTGTTACTTTTCAAATCGTCTCTGGGAAGAAAAAAAAAAGACTAGTGAAAATTTCTTCATGTATATAAAATATTTCAGTATGATATTGGATAACATTCTTCACTTTCAGCAGGTTTCAGACGTGTGCTGATCCAACATGGTCTTTCTTCATAAATAGTAAAGCGTTCCTTCAGTGGTATCTTGTGGCTTGTCTTCACACTTGTCACCAGTCTTAGTATGTCTGGTAGACATCGTGAATGGGAACCTGAATAGTAGCAGCAGGGAATGCCTGAGGTATGTAACCCGCATAGCCTCCATAGACGGCCGCGGTGGCAGCCGTGTTCTTCTGTAGTGTGGCAATTGTGGCTGTGGCTGGAGCAGCAGCAAATGGGACGTAACTGGCACCATAGATCCCGGCAGTGGGCATTCTCTGAACATTTGGAGCCACCGTGTATACTGGAGTTATTGGGCGGCCCTGAGGAAAGAGAAAGAATGTCGTCTAGTCATCCACTCAACGAGTGTCTTACGGTACATTAAAGCAAAAGTGTCCATTTTCAAGAGACAAATAGTCAAACAATGGTCATAAAAGGCAGCCATGTTGCTAGCTGCTTTCTGGTAAGGGCGTGTATAACCGAGTGGTGGCCTGTGGATCAGTCTGTTGTGACTCAGAGGGTTTTCAGTGGCTGATTTTCAAAAGTAGAAGTCCAGGCCTTTATTCTTAGTCCAATCTTAGCCTGAAAGCTATGCTGAAATATGGTCTCTGTCAAACCACCAGACATAGCTGTACGTGAGATACCTTGGCTGGGAATTGAACCTGGATATCCTCATGGACTGAGAGAATTCCACCACTCAGCTACCAGTGTCCCCAAAGGAGTAGGATTATTGTTGTTAATTGCCTTCGAGTCAATTCTGACTCATAGCAACCTTGCATAGGGTTTCCAAGGAGTGGCTGGTGGGTTTGAACCATTGACCACAAGGTTAACAGTCCAATGCTTATCCTACAGTGCCACACCAGGACTCCTAGACTTTAGTGTGTCAGTCCTTGCCAATAATAACAATGAAACAAAATACTATATCACTGTTGTTCAGTGGATTCTGACTCAAGGCAACCCCGTGTGCTAGAGTAGAACTGCTTCATAAGGTTTTCTTATGATCATTATGGAAGCTAATCGTCAGGCATTTTTACCAGGGTGGCGCTGGGTGGGTTCCAACAGCCAACTGTGCGGTCCATTTGTACCACCTCGGACCTCCCAACAGTAAAAACATGATCTAGTATCATTTAAATTAAAAAAAACTGGTACATATAATATGACACAGAAAATTTACATGGTGTTTTTGCATATTACATATTACTTACCATCTTTAATACAGCGACAATGCTAGAAAATTTCTTTTCTTTCATGATTTAACACTTAAAATTTTTTCCTATCACCAAACCATACAGTTTTTATAGAAAGCCAGGTACACAGTAAATTCTCAGTGCTGCCCAGTAAGTAAATCCAAACCAAAGAGAGGGTTTCACACAGCTATTACAAAGTCTGCAGCAAGAGCCCTACCTGGAAAGGTGGAGGTGTTGACACGGTGGGAATGACAGCGGCAGCTGCGGCGGCGGCGGCAGCTGCAGCGGCTGGGTCTGGCTGCACAGCCATGGGGCTGATCATGTGCTCCATTGTGTGGATTTTGCCATCTTCAATCATTTTTGGAGCTGCAGCAGCCTGAAACATGGAATACTGGGTCCCAATGGCAGGGATGGCCACTACAAGAGAGCAAGAAGGGAAAAAAGAGGTCAGCCACAAAAGGAAGGGCCTTCACTTTCTCTAAGATATTTTAAAAACCAAGGTTAACAGCCCTGAGTCTCTCTTCCTGTCAACAAAAGTCTTCTCAGTATGAGTCACGTCATGGGAGCTCCCCAGAGGATGCTGGGAGGGGAGAGAACAGGGGGAGACTCTCTATGTCTGTCTTTCAGAAAAACCTACCTGGGTATGGAGTCTCCCAGTAAGTCATTCTAAAAGGAGGCTCTAGAGTTAGACTTCTGTTACCTTTTCTACATCAACATTTTCTACTACTTTTACAGAAAACGATTATTTGAATCTTACTAGCGATGTTCTGGTGTGGAGCTGTGCTCACCAACTGCTTCTCAGAAACCCTATGTAGGTTTGCTATGGCTCAGAACCAACTGCATGGCACTTTCACCACAAACAACATTGATATTCTAGAGTGCAAGTACGGGCCTTCTTAAAATAAGTTCCGTATGTAACAAGTACGATCAGATGCCCAACAAGGATGAGAGTGAGTCTGCCCCTGCCCCTTCCTTATTCATCACCTTACTCATTACCAGATCTAGTTTCTTTTTCACTTTCATCCTTTTTAAGCAGTTGCTGATGAAGGTTTCATTCCAAGAACTCAAGAGATCTGTGTTCACTGCTCCTCCCCAACCTTTGGCTCACCTTAATTTCAGATTTCAACATCACTGATACAAGACAAAATACATATAAAAAATGGAAATGCCTCTAGTTTTCTAATGCCTCCATTTACGAGTGAAGCAGTGAAATGACTGGATTTGTGGTGGGACTTGCCAATTCAAAGACGTTTCTGTGAGTCGAGTCCAAAGGGACTGATTTCGACCAGTGATTCAAGCAGATAGCAGTGATTCCAAGTCAATGCACCATAGAGAGAAACCAAAAGGTAGATACTAACCTTGATTTGAGAGAGTTTGCACATGTAATTTGAAAGGCTATGCAAGAATATGAAACATATACACATAATTTGTTTTCAGTTATTTTTCTTCTCCAACTGTGGGTATGTGGGTATATCTAACCCAATAAAAGCTGATCTAAGGTAAGACAAATGATGTTATGCTAAGCAACGTTCTGACCACCCCAAGGAAAATAACCTCATCTTTCTCCTGTGCAGTGGCTGGTAGATTCAAACTGCTGCCTTTTGATGAGCAGTCCTATTCTTAACCCCCTATGCTACCAGGGTTCCACTGCCTTGGTGCCTCCCCTAAACTACAAAATTCTTATTTTCTGGATGAATCAGAAATACAGGCCAAGGGGATGGGAGCCAGATATAGTTAAGAATTTTAGCCACACAGTGTGGTTGGTACTAAGTAACTGGATTGTTCTGGCTACCAGCCCATAGGAATTTCTCCCCTCAACTGCCAAGACACATTTTCCTATAACTAAAGATTGTCCAACTGTTCTTTTCTCTAGTTCAACTTTAAGCTGTTGTGACTTCCCAACAGGAATCTTTCCTAGGAAGAAGTTATAACTCCTGTATCCAGGTTCTGCTGTATGGAATTTTATAGACAGATACAGAATCACTTTGATATTGTGTGTAGTGCCAAGGGCATTGATGTGGAAATTCACTATTAGGAAGTTTGATGTAAGCATGGTCAGAATTGGACCACTCTCCCTTAAATTCCACACAAAACAGTCCAGGTGGGCACTTTCATTGTCTAGTCTCTGGCTCCTTATAAGAAGGTGGCCCAAGAAAGAGCCCAAGGAAGGCTTGGGCTCACAGCAGAGGGAGGGCTGAGGTTCAGGCTGAGTAGATGCATCCTCATTCTGGTTTATACTGACCTGTACCAGGTTTAATGGCAACGGGATTGACGGCTGAGAGTTCCAAATTTGGTACAAGCTCATATCCTTTTTCTTGCTGCTTTCCTTTCCCTTCATGGTATCGGCTATAGATACCACGGCCAGCAGAATATCCCCCGAGGTAAGAACCCCTGGGCCCTGGGGCTCTGTTGCCAGCTGCACCTCGCCCTCGGCCTCTTACGCTGCCTGCTTATAATAACAACACAAAAAATGATGAGCAACCAATAGCGACAGAACAGGAGGCAGAGCTTAACCCAAGGTTCTTGGCTTTTAGTGGTTTGCCTGAGTCTAAACTGCAAGTGACTATATATTTGCCCTTTAATGAGCTAATAAGGATACCTCATCTACCAAGGGTTAACTTGCAGGGCGAGTTGCTATCATTGTAATTCCAATTTTAGTAGAGACAAACATTCAGACTATACAAAAGTTAGATCAGGACGGGGATCTGCAAATCCCCCTTCCTCATTTTATGCTTGAGGGACTACATCCAGGGAAGTAAAGTAACTGGACCAAAGCCAGAATCCAGAACCTGGTATCGTGTATCCTGTTTTTTCTCTGCAATGCTCTGGACATTATAAGCGAGTCAAATGATTTTCTAAAAATGAAAACATTACCCCCACCCCCAACATTTTAAAGACTTAATTTCACAAGCAGATTTTAGTCAAAATGCCAAGAGATTAGCGGGTTAGCTCCAAATCAGGTAGCTACTGAGAAGGAAGAACAACGGCAAGATAGTATCTCTCCCCACCCCACCCCCACCCCCACCCGATTTTACTGTTCAGCCCATAGAAAGGAACGATTTGTACTTCTCTCAATGGTACGACGGTGGAAGCTTAAGTGACAGCAAAGAAGGAAGCCCAGAACCAAAACCCAAAAGAAGGAGGTTCCGTTACTGTTCATAAATTCAATTAAAGTCAGGACACCTCCAAGGCTGCCTACCTAGTAGACGGAGCTATTGGAAGCCCACCCAGTGCAGAGCCCCACTAACCTTTCACAAAGTACTCCCTGTTGGGCCCGATGAGCGCGTTGTAGGGGTAGCCGTAGTAGGCTAGCGTGTACGGATCGCAGGAGTACACGTAGCTGGGCTGCTGAACCGCCGCCTCGGCCACGCCGCTGCCACTGGCTCCCTTGGCCGCCTTCTGGTAGCGGGAATACTGCTCCTTGTCTACAGGCTTGGCCAGCGTTACCTCCAGGCAGGAACCCTCTAACTCGGTGCCGTTAAGGTTGTTCATGGCATGCACGGCGTCCTCGCGGCTGGTGAAGTGCACAAAGGCATAGTCGCGTATCTTCTTGACGCGTTCCACGCAGCCGGGGTTGAACTGGCCGAAGCTCTTCTTAATGGTGTCTTCTGTGGTCTCGATCATCAAGTTGCGCACGTAGAGGATCTTCACCGTCTCCATCACGTCCTCATCCACGTCGATCTCAGGTTCGGCCCAGTCCACGGCGATCTGATGGCCCCACAGCTGGATGCGGCCAGGCATGAGCTTACGGCGCGCCATGGCTGCGGCTCTGTGGCTCTCGTACTCCACGAAGGCGAAGCCGCGGTTCTTCATCTTATCAGCGGCGCTGGCATAGACGATAACGTCCAGGACTCCCTCGGTGACCCTGGAGATCTCCTCCAGGATTTCTTCGCGCTTCTTCATCTTGGGGATGCCTCCGATGAAGAGGCGGCAGTTGTCCACGCTGCAGCACACGCCGAGCAGACGTCCCGGGCGGATCTCGTAATTGTTGAGCTCGCGCACGGCGCGCTTGGCCTCATCCTTATGGCAATACATGACGAAGGCATAGCCACGATTCTTGCCATCAAAGTCCATCATGAGGCGCAACTCGTAGATGCGCCCCACGGCCTCGAACACGGGCACCAGCTCATCTTCGTACACGTCACGCGGAATCTTGCCCACGAAGACTTCACAGCCGCGCTGAGGGTGCGACCCATCCCATCCAGGTGGCGGGCCGCCGTACTTGCGCTGCCCGTTCTCCTGCACCATGCTGTAACCCGTGCGCTCCATTAGAGCCAGCAGCGCGGCTTCGTTGGGTGCGCCTGCTACACCTTCGGGAACCTTGGCCGGGGACACAGCGGCTGAATCGCTCATGGCTGCGGTGGAATCCTCAGCGGTCATGTCAACATCCAGGGGTTGCGGAGACCTGCAAGAATCAGAAGGAAGAGTAGGAGTGAGTATGGGATCTGTCTCCACGGGAGCTAGCATTCTAGCCTTCTTTTTTTGTGAGCGTCTCGATCCGTGCTTGTAAGAAGCCATCAGGTTAGTGGGATAGAGAAAGAAGACAGGAGACTTTCTCTGGAAGTACAGAAGCTCTGAAGAGTCGAGCAGCTATGCAGGTAAAACCAGAAGTGCCTCGCTTAAAAAGTCAGAGTGAGCAAGTACTTCCGTTCAATCACTACCTAGAACCGCCCATAAGTATTGAGATTCCGCGAAAACCTCGCGCTCTTACAGCGAATGGCAACGTCTTTTGCGTATTTTCTGTACTGGAGTCCTGGTGTGGCGCTATAGGATAAGAATTGGATTGCAAACCGGAAGGTTAGAGATGAAAACCCACCAGTCGCTTCTCCGAAACCCTATACAGGGTCGCTATGAGTTATAACCGACTCGATGGCACTTAACAATAACAACAAACTCCGATTAATTTCCTTTTAGCTAGCATTTTAGCCCATTTATTTCTTGGAAAAATACAGCTCTTTTTTGTTTTAAGATTGTCGTTTTCATTGGAAACATAGAAATAATGTATATTACAGTGCTGGCTTTTAACGAACATTTTCGTAAGGTGTTAAAAGACAACAAAATACTAAACATATACAGAGCTATCTACTGCCGTTTTTAATAAAAAACATGGAACATTTAATTCTCAAAGACTTAGCACAGAAACTGCTATAAGTTGGTAAGCCTGATTCTTATTATGTCCTTCAGATAAAATTCTTGGTAGGAACAGTAAAATTATCATAGATTTGGAATTAGCCCACAAAGAGTAAGATTAAGTTCAAATTGAGAGACGTAGGACGAAACAGCCACCTGGTAAAACCTCACTATACTTTTTGGACGACTGTCATTTGAGTTTATATTTTTTAATATATTGAGTTTAAATATATTGAGTTTATATTATTTAATCTTCTTAACCTTTGTACGTGGTAAATGGTATTATGCCCATGAGGAAAGAGGCTCCGAGAGGTTAAAGAAACTATTCACACAGCAAGTATCAGCTTGTACTAGGTAGGGCTTGATTCCAAGCCTCGGGCTCCAAATTCCATATTCTTTCTTTTAAACCAACGTTGTGCAACAGAACTTTCTGTCACGATGGAAATGTTCATAGGACTAATACTGTGACTACTGAAGACCTGACTGTGGTTAGAGTGACTGAGGAAGTGATTTTTAAAATTTATTCAGTTTTAACTAACTGAAATTTAAATAACCACACGTCTAGTAGCTATGGATTGGACATGCAGCTTTACCCTATATTAACTTCACTCATACAGAATTAATTCCAAATTCTATAGTAAGATTATGCTTTTGCAATGATAGGGCTCTGACTGGTCTTTTAAAAGGTGCACTTTATTTCAGTTTTTGGACTATAAGTACAGTCAAGTAAATTTTATGGAAAATTAAAAAAAAACACAACACATGATTAAACGCTGACCTTTTGGCTAGATTGTTTTCTTTCCTTTTTTTGGGGGGGGGGGGGGGGAGCTTGTTTTTGTTTTTTCAAATTTACATTTTGCTTTTATTTTATTCCTTCATGTTCTTAAAAGTGTAAAAACATCATTTCTAATGACTGCCTTGGAGTCCTGGTGTGGCGCTGTGGGTTAATGCGCTAGACTGCACAGTCGGTTTCAACTGTAAGGTTGGTGGTTCAAGCTCACCAATCGCTCCTTGGAAGCCCTCTCTGTTGCTATGGGTTGGAACAGACTCAAAGGCATTTAACAACAACAACGACTGCCTAATGAGTAGGCACTTAGCAATGTTAGTATTCACCTCACGAATAGCAGTCCAGTGATTAGCTCCAAGAAAAAAATTAGTTAAGACTTGGTTCTAGGACACAAATCTGCAGTTGCTGCTCAAATTTCTTACATAAAATGTTGTAGTATTTGCATAGTGGAGCGTGGTGACTTTGTAGGGTAAGCATTGGACTGTGAACCACAAGGTCAGCTATTCAAATACACCAGCCACTCTATAAGAGAAAGGTGAGGTTTTCTGCTCTTGCAAAGTTTTATAGCCTCAGAAACACTACACAGGGTCACTATGAGTTAGAACCAACTCCATGGCACTTAACAACATACTTTAAAATCATCTTTATATTACTTATATTGTTCTATATTACTTAGAACCGACTCCACGGCATACCACTACCATATTACTTATAATGCCCAATACAATGTAAATGTATGTAAATAGAAATTCATACTCCCTGTTAGTCACTGAGTGATTCCTTTGACCACTTAATTGTAAGTGATCAAGAAATAGACAATTATCTTTCATCTAAGCTTCTAGTGAAAACGTCACATCAGTTCTTTACATTTTAAAGTAATTTTTTAGAACAACATTCTCATGTCTTTAAAAACATCTGTTTAATGTGGCTTCCTATTCTTTTTATTTTCTTTGCTCTTTAGATTCTTGCAAGCTGGTATAAAAACAGATCATGAATTATTTTCTAGTAAAATTTGAATATGATTCATTAGCTCCGATATCAGATTTGAACATGAAGATCTTTTCTTCCTTCCAAATGGAAGATCCAAACATATTCTCATACAGATTGCTTGTACAAACCAACATGTTTGCTACCTGTGACCTGGAAAGGAAATAACAACCACATGTATAAAATGTAAGATCTTAGGTGTTACACGAAATACAATTCAAACATTAATTGACTACCATCTAACTGTCTCTAGCTTACTGACTAGTCTGAGAAATGTGGAACTGACTCTTTCTAACTGTACTTTGGAGTCCTGGTGTGGCACTATGGGTTAACGCACTGAACTGCAAGGTTGTTTGCAGCTCACCAACTGCTCCTCGGAAACCCTACACAGAGTTGCTATGGATCAGAACCAACCCAACGACTGTTAACAACAACAAACTGTACTTTAGAGTCATGGTGTGGCACCGTAGGATAAACACTTGACCTCAAGGTTGGTTTGAATTGCAAGGTTGTTGTTAAGTACCATGGAGTCAGTAACGATTCATAGTGAGATCCTGTATAGGGTTTCTGAGGCTGTAAATCTTACTGGAGCAGAAAGCCTCATCTTTTTCCTGCAGAACAGCTGGTAATTTCAAACTGCCGACCTTGAGGTTAGCAGCCTGATTCATAACCACTACACTACTAGGCAGGTGGTTCAAACTCACCAGCTGCTCCTCGGAAACTTATGGGTCGGAACCAACTTGACGGCACTCAAGAACTGTACTTTGAAACCACCATTTTATACAAAAGTTTTATAATTAATAGTCAAGCTATAAAAATCAGTCCCATACACATTTATTTATTTCATCAAAAATTCTGTTTAATTTCAGTTTGAAATATGCTCTTTAAAAATTTCAAAAGTTATACTTTTTTATTTTTGAATCTATGGGCCAAGAATAGCCCTCCCCCCAAACCCTTCTCCCCCACACACAAACTTTCATCATTTAAAAGAGAGAATCAATGCTCTTAATTCAGTTTCCCTTTTTTCTTTCACCACTAATAAGTCTAGGATTTAATTTTTCACTCCAAATTTAGTAATTGTATGGAACTCGACAGCACTTAACAACAACAACAACAACAACACCATAGGACCTTCGGGACTTCTGGTAATGTGCTGTAGCATAAGCACTGGACTACGAACCACAAGGCTGACAGTTCAAACCCACCAGTTGCTTCTTGGAAACCCTATACAGGGTCGCTATGAGTTGGAATCAACTCGACGGCACTTAACCACAACAACAAATAAGATATTAGCCCTGGTGTGGTGCTTATAGGATAGGCACTGGACTGCTACCTGCAAGGTTGACAGTTCAAACCCACCAACTGCTCTCAGAAACCCTTTACAGGGTTACTATGGGTCAGAAACAACTCAACAACATACAACAACAATATAGCACACTTTCATTTTCATCTAATTTAATCTATAGCTTCATTTCTACTCTGAATGTCTCTAGTGGTGTGGGTTTATCCATTTATATTGATAATCTTGTTGTTTACATGTTCTTGAGAGTCTTTCCATAATTTTTCAACTGGGACCAGAAGAATGCACACATACTGGACTGCACGGTACGTTTGAACCGCAAGTTGGAGGTTCAAGCTCACCAGCCACTCCTTGGGAATCGTATACTAGGTCGCTTGAGTCAGAAGTGACTCAATAGCGCTTAATAATAACAACAACAACACATATATACATACATACACACACACGTAAGTCTACTCTGCAGCATGTATTTATTCAAGTATTGTTAACCAACTACAAACATTGGCCAAAAAACAAGTGAGTTGGCTTACGAGATGCAAAAGGGCAAAAATGGTTTCAGTAAAATTAAGATTTCACAAGCTTATCACACTGATTGTTGTTGTTAAGTGCCATGGAGCTGGTTCCGACTCATAGCGACCCTGTACAGGGTTTCCAAGGCTGTAAATCTTTACGGGAGCAGAAAGCCTCATCTTTCTCCCGCGGAACAGCTGGTAGTTTTCACTAGAAGCCATTAAAAATGCTATGATAAATTTACACATTCAAGAAAATCTTATGGAACATTGGCCTGAGATAGTGCTGGACGATGAGCCCCTCTGAGTGGATGACATTCAAAATATGACCGGGGAAGAGCTGTCACCTGAATAGAGAATCTACCTTATTATGTGGATGGAGTAAAGCTTCCTGGATGTTCATTTGGATAAAATGAGAAGAAACAGCTGCAAACATCTATGAATAATCAGGGTGTGCAAAGTCTGAATTTAAAAAAATGGAAAGTTAACAATAACAAAGTAGATCACATAAAGTTTGATATCCTATATGTTAAGTAAAACCAAACCAAACCCATTGCCATTGAAGAGATTCCACCTCACTGGACAGAGTGAAATTGCCTCACAGGTTTTCCTAGGCTATAACCTTTGTGGAGTCCTGGTGTGACCCAGTAGGGCAAGCACTGGGCTACTAACTGCAAGGTTGGCAG